TAGAGGAAAAATGTCCCAGTGTGTTAGGCTGTCTGTTAGATTTCAGTAATTTTTTTTTCAAAAGGTACTGTGCACATATTTGGCTGAATACGTAGTTCCTGTAATCAAGAATCCCTTTGTAAGGAAGATATTCTAATTGCAGGACTTCTAAGAACAAGCCCGATTCATTTATAGACTCCTTTGCAGTTCTATGTACTAAACATACAAAGGATCTGTAAATAGGCCAGGAGCATGCAGACATTGAGAGGTGAGGATTATTTGCTTGCCCATGAACTCTGTCAGTTTCAGTTCTGGTCACAGATAGGAGTACACTTGCATCAGGCTATTATATGTTGGTATATTTAGATATATAACCCACCTTTTGAATACACAGTTGTAAAGTAGCTCAAAGGGAAGCAAGAAACAGATATTCTACAATGAAAAGCAAGGTACTATAGAGTATATGAGCACAAGGACTCTGACCAATTTGCACAACATGTCTTTCAGTGTTCTCCTTGGTCATCATTGATGAATGCCATCATACCCAGAAAGGAGCTGTCTATAACAATATAATGCATTACTATTTAAAAGAGAAAAGGGAGAATGAGAAGCGAAAGAAAGAAGGGAAACAACCAGTGCCTCAGCCTCAGGTTCTGGGGCTAACAGCTTCACCTGGAGTGGGAGGTGCAACCAGTCATTCAAAAGCAGAGGAACATATTCTGAAAGTAAGTTATACATGAGCATAAAAAAGTGGCAAATACTCTACAAAAGGAAACTTTATCATTCTTGGTTTTCAAGTGTGAGACCTTGCTAGTAATGAGGCTTGGAGCAGAGGAATCTACAACCATGTAGGAAAGCAGTCAACACCTTTAAGGTGTTCTTACCAAAGTTGCTAAGATTGGCTAGGTTTGCATGGTACAATAAGTAATAATGTATGTAGTTTCTGTTATTTATTAGACTGATATCCCAGCTTTCCTCCTGGAGCTCAAGGATGCATATATTGCACTGTTTGGGCTTGATGGGATCTATGAGCCCAGCCATGGAAGTTTATAAATCCCAATTCATAGTTTAGTGGAGTGTTTTCAACCTTGGTGAGTTTAAGATGGGTGGACTTCAACTCCCAGAATTCCCTGACCAGCCATGCTGGCTGGGGAATTCTGGGAGTTGAAGTCTACCCATCTTAAACTCACCAAGGTTGAGAAACACTGATTTAGTGTGATGCATAAATCTAGACATTGTGGCTTACTTAAACTGTAATCAAAGTAAATCAGGGCTTAGCAAGACATGAACCCAGCTACCATTTGCTCTAAATGCAAGGAAAATGAATAGAAGATGTAGAAATAATTTTAGGAATAATTTTAAATTCCTACCTTCTCCAGAAGAGCAGCAAATGGGACAGTAATTCATATGGTGTGCAACAAAAAATCTGTCACTAAAAAAAAAAAGACTCAGTTTGGCATTTCTGGATTCCATTCTTACAAAGTCCCAAAGCATGATCTGACGTGAGTATATTTGCATTAGGGTAAGGTGCCATGGGAAAAGGCTTGAGGGATTCATCTGAGCCAGTGTTTCTCAGAAACACTGATCTAAGCCAGCTTGAATTCTGTTATGTAAGAGGTGAGAGAGAATTGTAAGCAAGCAGTGAGATGAAAAAAGTAGTTAATGTGTGAGAATCTTTTTCCTGCCTAATAATATGCAGCATAGAGTTAAAATGCTTTTAAGTTACTTTATCTTTGTAAAAAAAGTATAAAATGTTTTGCCAGTTTGCAAAGGGAAAGATGGGAATTTAAAAAGACAAGCTGGGGATGAGAAAGCTAAAGGATGAGGAAATTTTAGATCATTCAAAGCTTCAGTCCACCATAAAACTTTTACTGTGGTGGGCAGGGAGGGGGCAAAAAGGACAAACACAGACTGTTATTTATCAACTAAGGGAATGAAAACTTAATTAGAAAAGATATTGTTAAGTTCAGCTTCCTGGGAGAAACATTACAACTTTAAGGCAGAAAGACTCACAAAATAATAGGGCTATGGAGTCCTTGGGGTTCTCTGAGCTTGGTTCTTTTCTTGCAAACGTTTCATTACCCAGCTAGGTAACATCTTCAGTACTAACATGGGGGGTTCTCTGAGCTTGGTTCTTTTCTTGCAAACGTTTCATTACCCAGCTAGGTAACATCTTCAGTACTAACATGGGGGGTTCTCTGAGCTTGGTTCTTTTCTTGCAAACGTTTCATTACCCAGCTAGGTAACATCTTCAGTACTAACATGGGATGGGGTTTGCTCTCTATTTATGTGCTGTAGCCTGTCTTGCCTGTGCTGGTAAGGGGACAAAAGAGACAAAAGATCAGAAGATTGCCTCACCAGCAATCAATCACCAGCAATCATCACCCAGATAAGCAAAGGTCACCACCAGGCACACAGTCAAGTAGCAAACACATGCTAATCAAAGAACTACCAGAGGAGCAAAACAAAACTCTCACCCTTACCAGCACAGGCAAGGCAGGCCACAGCACATAAATAGAGAGCAAACCCCAACCCATTTTAGCACTGAAGATGTTACCTACCCGGGTAATAAAGCATTTGCAAGAAAAGAACCAAGCTCAGAGAACCCCAAGGACTCCACAGTTCAACCCTGAGCTACACATATTCACCTCTATTGGTAATAGGGCTATGCCATGCTTCAGATTAATTTCCAAGAGTGTGCTTCAAAGCATGTGAATGTAGTAGCTCTTGGCAACTTTTTAAGGCAGCCGCATCTTTTCCAGGATCATAAGATAGCTGAACAGTCTCAGGAAAAAACATGGCTCCTTTAAAGAGTTGCCAAGAGGTGCTGTATTTGAATTTCCATGCTTTTTGCAGTACTTTATTTACATTCATTTATTTGTTACTTGCTGGAAGCAACTGTAGGGAAATTTTCTCAGATTTTATATGTATGGATGTTCTTATAGAAAGCTATGTTATTTCAAGTAACCTGGATGATATACACCCACTCCTCATTTAGCAACCGAGTTCTGTTCCAATGACCAGGTCATTAAGCAAAATGGTTGCTAAGTGAACACATGACACACACACAGAGAGATGCTTCAAAAGTCACTGGTTGCTGCTGTCTCGTTCTGATAAAGTTCTCTCATACAGCTACACCAGCATGACTCTCATTCCAGCGTGAGTTATTGTCAAACGCACAAAATTTGGTCTTAAATGTGTCCATAGATTGGAAAACTAATTTTGTATTATTGTCATATTTGCAAATGGTCGCTAACCAAGATAGTTGCTAAATGAATGGGTATAGGGCTATAAAAGTAATACAGATCAGTACAGCTAGTCCTTGACTTATGACCATTAGTTTAACAACAATTCAAACTTATGACAGTGCTGAAAAAGGTGACTTATGACTGGTCCTCACACTTATGACCATCGGAGTGTCCCCATGGTCATGTGATCAAAATTCAGGTGCTTAGCAATCAGCATGTATTTACCACAGTTGCAGCATCCCAGGGTCACATAATCACCATTTGCAACCTTCCCAGGGGGCTTCTGACAACCAAAGTCAATGGGGGAAGTCAGACTTGCTTAACAAACACATGATTTACTTAATGGTCGTGGCAAAAGGTCATAAAATCAGACTCAACTCAATTAACAACCGCATTGCTTAGTGAAGGAAGTGTGGTTATAAGTCAAGGACTACCTGTACTTTGTATTATGCCTGGAAAAAAATTGGAAGCCAGTGCAGTGCTTTCAGCACAGGTGGACTTCTTTCTAAAACCAATCTAGTTGCTGAGTTTCATACCAGTTGAAGTTTCTGGACTAGATACAAAGGCAGCCCCACATTGAAATATGCACATGTGCCACAGTTTAAGATCATTTCTTTCAGAAAGGTATGCAAATGGCTTCTCAGCCAGAGATAATAAATGGTGCAATTTAGATGTTCCCTCTGTCTGGGAACTCAGAGAGAGATACAGGTCCAGAAACACTCCCAAAGTACATGCTTGCTACTTTGGAGAGAAGATCATTCTATGCAGAACAAGGAGGTCTGCTACATCTAACAGCAGCAGCCACAGCTAACCACCATCCTGGGAAGGAGCCCATGTGGACTGGTGACCTCCTGCTTCTGTTCTTGAGTCTGGAAATGGTGCTGTCTAGCAAGCACAGCTTAAGGGAAGAGGCAGCAAAGGAGAGAGGAGCAGGGAAGGCAAAGGATCTTCACTTGGCAGGGTTGGGGGGGGGAAATATCATTTTCTGAAGATGTCACAGAGAACTAGAACTGGGTGTCATTGGTGTACTCATAGCCAGCTAGCTCTAAATCTCATGATCTCCCCCAGAGGGACACTGTATAATGGGTTGCTTTTTTAGAAGAAAGTGTCTCCAAGCAACATCATCTGGAGTCTACTTGACAGACAAAAGTAGAACTACAACAAAGCCATTCACAATAGTTAAGGTGATCCTTTGGGTGTGCTGTTACTGGAGATGTTACTGTCTAGGGTAGCCTGCCTTAAATGCAACTCTCTCAAGAAACAGTCAAAGAGACACTCCCAAGGTAAGGTCCTTAGCTGCTTCTGAACTGGCAAGCAATGAGAACTCCCCCTTAAGGCTGCACTCCAGTTATTTCCAAAGCACTGCACAGACCTACATGTCCCATAACTTACATAACCTCCTCTCCTCTAGATATGTGCCAACCTGGATGCAGATGAGATTATGACTGTTCAAGAGCATACCTTGCAACTGCAACATCAAGCAAAAGAACCTCTTAAGAAGTTTGAAATTGCAGATGGCAAAAAGGAGGTATGGATTTTTGTGGTGCTCTATGTGATCATGTAACTACAGCATTGTGCATGGCACCTTATTTTTTACAAGACAAACCTACAGATGCTAACTTAGGAATCAAGAGGAATAAAAAAATGTTAGAAGCAAGGCTTACTCTTTCATAGAAGAAAGTGCTCCTTCCCTTCACGGAAGGAACTAGAATCTCAAGGAAGGTTCCTGGTTGGAGGGACTTCTGGTGAGGACTTATGGCTGACTAGATGTCCCTGAAGGAGTGGGCACGGCATTGTGGCAGAGATCAGCGGCTAGATGGTAAAGTGTGACCAGTGGAGTCTTTCCAGATAAAGGAAAGATTGTGAGATCGCTTGCTTGCACTCCAGACAGCTGCTCCTCATGAGTAGACTGCAGGAACTGGGTTTTTGCAGTCAGCTCATGAGTTGAGCAGCTGGGAGTTGAGGGTTTTCAAGCAAGCTCCCAGCCGTAATGCAGCCTATATGGACACAAGCTTCTCACACGCCATATTTCTTAAACACTTTTGGATTTAATGAATTTACAGCTAAAGAGAGATTTTCTGAGTGGCAGGATAAGAGAATTCCACTTGGTGAGTCAACATTCTTTCTGGATTAAAAAGGAAAAAAGAAAAAATGTTTCAAAGATTTAAAAACTTTTGGCAAAAAGCTTAACAAGGAGTGGATGTTAGAAAGTTTAAAATGCATAAAAGGGATAGTTATTCTGAAAGGTTATTTTTTGGTGAAAGTGCTTTTGAATACATTGGAATTAAAATAGACAAATGAACCAGACCTTCATGGGAATATTTTTTTGTTTACTATGAAAGAGTGCAGACAATTGGTGAATTTTACAAAACAAAAGATAAAGGTAATATGAGCCAGACTCTGATGCTGCCTGTAACTTCGGAGTGCCATTTGAGATGAAAATATTAAGGGCACAGGAAGACAAAACAGGAAAAAAAGCGCGGGGGGGGGTTGCATTTTACTCTTTCCATTGCAATTGAGACACTTCCATTTTTGGATTATAATATTATAATGACAACCACCAGAAAAGCAGCAAAAACACCACAGGGGAGGAGAGGATCATTATAGTAATATGCAGAGAGAAATTACAGCAGATTTACTTCAGAAAATGTTTGAGGAATTAGGCAATAAGTTAGTTGAATCACCTGATACTGAATTAACAGCTTTTGAAAAAAGAATGGATCAAAGACTGGTAAAGATGAAAGAGGAGATGAAAGAAGTTAAAAAGATGGAAAGCTCTGTAAAACAAGTGTCTGGAGATGTAAAACAAATTAATGACAAAGTGGAAATTATGGAGAGTAAAACAGAAGTTATAGACAGAGAGTTGGACAGAGAACTAGATAATTTGGCTCTATTGGAATTAAGAGAGAAGGACTTTTGTTTGAAATTTAGAGCAATCCTAGGGGATTCTGATGAAGATATTAGAGAAAAGATTATTAAAGCTTTAGCAAATTTTTTGGACTGGGATGAGGAAGATACCAGGGTAGAAATTGATAAAGTGTATAGAATAAATACAAGATTTCTAGAATAAATGTTCCAAGGAATGTCTTGGTGTACTTTCTCAGGAAGAAATCAAGAGATCAAGTTTTGCAGCAGCATTTTAGTCCAAGGCTGAAGATTGATAATACAGATGTAACTGTTCTTAAAGAAATTCCTATTAGGATTTTGCATATTCTTTTTTGATTGATAGATTAAAACTGAAAATGATTCCATTGCAATGGGACAAATTAGAAGGTGTGATTTTTACTTTTAAACAGCAGAGGTTTCAACTGAATAATGTCCAGAAGGCGAGGGAATTTTTAGAAAAACTTAAAGAGTAATTGGAGGAGATTCAAATGGAGGTGTCAGATGACACTACACAAAAACTTCAATGGTTTCAACAGGAAACTGAAAGGGATGATATTGATCTAGGTGCTACAGGTATTGACTTTTCTAGATTTTTGGCTTGATCATGGATTACAAATGCTTAATGTGGGATATAAATGGAGCAAATGCTCCTCAAAAGAGAAAAAAATAATTTCATTATTTGAAAAAATTAAAGCAAGATATAATTTGCCTACAAGAGACACATATTAGAAAAAAGGACATAAAATATTAGATTTATAAAAATTTGGGCAAAGAATTTATTTCAGGAGCCACAAAAAGAAAGAAAGAAAGAAAGAAAGAAAGAAAGAAAGAAAGAAAGAAAGAAAGAAAGAAAGAAAGAAAGAAA